GTGTTTCCAGTTCCTATCTGTACCATCTGGACATCCTCTGGTCTAGCCAGACTTGCAAGGTAGAATTCGGATCATGGTAGTGGGGGGCAGAGGAAGCATTTAGGGAACTAGAGGAAAGTTGTATTTTTCATTGTTGTTACATCGCACCTTGACTGGCTCATCTCCTCCCCGAGACCCCTCTGCAAGGGGATCTACCCTGGCCTACAGATGGGCTTTGGGTCTCCACTCCGCACCACCCCCCTCCCCTCATTCACTATGGTAAGATTTTTTGTTCTGATGATGCCTTATACCTGATCCCTTTGACACCTCAAGATCGCACAGGCTGGTATAACACCCGTTTTTCTCCCAGCAGTCACATTTGAGGTGAGTTCCTGAAATACTTGATCAATATGGCCCACAAATGTTATAAATATCTAAATGGCCCCTGGCAGAAAAAAAAGGTTCCCCACGCTTGCTTTAAACTTAGTGGGATGGCAAAACCGACCGATCTTCTTTTTGGAGTACCACACAACTTATTTGTATGTTTCTACCCCTGCTATAGGTTACATGCCTTACTGACAGTAATAGCAAGCTATCCAATTCCGTTGGTGGGTCACAAGCAGTGCCTAGTCCTTTGGTAGGAGTTACAGACTATGGCTAGAAGGAATTCACAGCACTGCCCAGACCTGTATTCGTAGAAATCATTTCAGAAATGATTGTTCATCTTTGTAGACTGTGAATAAGGCCATCAGGTAGATGTCAGCTTCCAACATCAGGAATTTGTCTGCTTAGACTTAGCAGTTTTGTTTTGTTTAGCAGTTTTGTTTTATTTGAAACAAAGTGCTTACTCCCCTTAAAAGCTAATCGGGTTCTTTGGACCCCTTTCCCCTCCTATTCCCTGAGTCAGGGTTGGATGATGGTCACCCCACCCCATATGTTAATTTGGTCAGGCCATGATCCTGTTATGTCATGATGTAATCACCCCCATAGTGTAATCTTATGTGATCTGTCACTCACTTGTAAGGGGATTCAGGAAGGAGGCAACACCTTTAGGTCACAGCCTGATGTTAGGGGAGTTCTCCTGGGATGTGGCTTGCGTTACCTTTCATCCTACAAGAACTAAAAGGAGAGCTAGCCAAAAAAGGACCTGACTACTACCAAGAAAGAAGAGCCAGGAACAGAGTGTTTCCTTTGGATCTGGAGTCCCGGAACTCATAGACCAGGGGAGAATGTAGTCCAGACACATGGAAGTTGACCAGTAGAAGCTCAAAGAGAACAAAATAATCTTTATAAATTATCAAGGGTTCGTGAGGGGAAAATGAGCTAATACCAAGGGCTCAAATAAAATTGTTCTGAGAATGATGATGGCAACAAATGTGCTTGACACAATAGATGGATGGATGGATTGTGTTGAGAGTTATATGAACCTCCAATAAAATTTTAAAAAGGAAAAGGAAAAAAAAAAGCTTGAGACAATAATCTCCCCTCCAGAAAGCCTGTCCCTATAGATATGGCACCCCGAATTCGTTTCTAGCCTCCCCCACTGTGACAAAGTAACTTGTTACAGGTACCCACCTTTTGCAGTATTTGTGATAGCAGCCACTCAGTAGCTAAAACACTCGGTGAGCTGACTTTTTATCAACGAATCCTTATTGCTAGTTGGAAATTTCCCTGTTGCCTTTCCCCTCCTTCTCTTCCATCTTTGGCTTCAGCCCACTTCCCCATTCATTCCACTCAAGGAAGTTGTTGACTTCTTGGAAACAGCACTAGCTGCCAAATACAGCGGAGGCTAACCAGTCTTGTGTCACTGTACTTGGAAAGCCGGACCGCTGCCTCTTAAACTCTTGCTCAATCCGTTTCTCCCCAACCTCTTTTGCAGATGAGTCTCCCGCCCCAGTTTCTAAATGCGGCCACTCCCCCGGCCTCATCCTTGTTCCTCCTCTTCCTTGTCGGGATCATCCACTTCCATTGATGTCAACTACCATGCCCGACTGACTCTGGGTCCTCTTTACTTGTGTTCCACAGAACTCCAAAGGAAGACGACCAAAATGGAACAGAGCTCCCTTTCCCAAACCTGCTCCAAATCGATCTTCATAAACGGCCCCGCATCTGCCTAACTCCCCAAGCCAGAAACGTCTGGGTTATCTTCCATCCCTTCTTCTACCTTACCCGAATAGCCCATCACTGAGATTGCATTGCTGCCGACGTTTTGATGTGACCTCTTCTCCTCCAGCCTGCCGCCATTGTAAGTGCACTTGTCCTATTGCTGAGGTTACTGGAAAGACCTTCCAACTGGTCCCCCTGCCTCTCCCTTTCCACTCCACTCCATTTTCTGATTGCCAGAACATCAGCTGCGAAGTTAATACCTGTTTTAAAATCCTCATTGGATCGCCTTTGCCTCCTGAATAAAAACTTTCTCCCATTAAGCCCTACAGCCTCGTCATGAACGGTAGTTCCCAGAATACACCCACACCACTCTACTTGTCTCTTATCTGGCATGCTCACCTGTCAATCCTCCCTCCAGATGTTTCCACCTTTTGCTTGCTGTTTTGCTAGTCTTCACTATTCTCTTATCACTGGATTTGGTGCCCATATGACCAGCTCCCACAGCCCACCTCAACCTTTCGCACTTAGTACGTGGTACTGTAGGACTTGAGATGTTTTTTTCTCACGTGCCTTGAACTTAGTGGGCAGGCAGGGAATAAATGGTTTCTGTGTCTGCAAACATATACAATGGACTCCAATCAACTCTCTGGAAGCCAGGAAGTGGAAGAATAACAAAGAAGTACCACTTAAGGGAAAAGCTGAAGTCCAGCCCAGTTTCAAATCAGGAAATATTCAAGTTCACGTCAGCTTGTGATCCACAGTTCAAAGCTCCCACAAGCCTCGTGGGTCGGAAGAAAAGGACACTCTCATTATGACTTGGAGAAGTCCTCACTAAAGACTTATTTTCAGAACGACTCTCCCGGCGCTCCGGTGTTGCCATTTTCAGTGATGACGTTTGACCTCAGTGCTCCCGTCCCTTGGCCAGTCCAGCTACCTCCCTGCCTCCCACCCCGACAAGTTGAAACTCCACAGATCCTATTTCCTAGCCCCTCCCAATGGGTGAAGGATTAAACACAATCAGGCATCAATATTTATTAACACAAGACAAAGAAAACACATTCAATGAGTTAATAGAACACTGTCCAGCCAGATGTTAAATTTAAAAATGTATAGCTAGTCTAATTTCAAATAAATAAAAAAAACTTTATACATAATTACACAGTACTATAGTTTGAATTTGACACGGGTAAATATCTTGACAGAGAGTAAACAAAACAGCATTTAGGACTAAAAAATTATTGTTAAATCTTTACAACTTCTTCCTCTGAATGCATCATGTGACCCGTCTCCTCTACCTAAACCAGAAATGTCGTGTGAATGACAAAGAAAAGGCCGACTGTGTCCTTGGAGTCCTGCAGCTTCTGGCTCCCACAGCAAAGCAACAGCAAAAACACTTAGGCGTAGGTCCTGCGGGGGTCTTGAGGGTGAGGTGGTTAACTCTTCATTGCTTGACTCTGAAAAGATTCCTGGATTTTCAAGGAAAGTAGTTTATTTGGCCAAGATATTGAGCACCATGCCTGGGCCAGTCACTTTGACACGAAATACCTAAGGTCTCTGGCCCTTTGTGGATTTAACAAAAAAGCTGTTAAATGAATGAATGTATGGAGGCACACTCACAGGACCACTGAGCAGGCAGACCCAAACCCCCGGCTCCTGAGGCCACTGCAATTCGCAGGGACTCTGTCAGACAGAGGAGATGAGCAATGGCCCCTAAACAGTCTGAGGCAACGCAGTGTTGAACTAAGGAAAGGACTCGGTGCTGGGGAGAACCGGACCCTTTATGGGGCAGGCAGTAAGCAGATCGCCTGTGGACAGGCTGATGCCAACCAGCCGGCTGGTCCCACGGGGGCACCTGATGGAACTTGCCCAGCTCCACGACCTCCCCGGGGCTCCCCTCTCTCCTAGGTAGCAATCCCACCCTACTACTTCTATGGAGCAATGGAGACTTGGAGAAACTTCCAGACCAACTGATTTCCCTGAGCAAAGGGATTTGCTATTCATTTTCTTTTCTGGAGGCCCAAGAACCCAGGCAGAATGTGCCCCCAAGACTCGGCCACCCTGGCTTTTGTCAACAATGGCTTTCTGGGCCAGCACCAGGAGTCAGCTGTCACAGAGCTGCTGCTACTTACTGAATGTGGAGAGCACCCTGTGCCAGCCAGGGGCAGTTTTCTCACCCCCTCTCAGCCTCCACAGACCACGCATTCAATCTGCACTTGGCCTCCCCCCTCAAAGGAGACTCCACCAGAGTTGCTGCTCAAGTCCAAGGGCAGAGCACCTCTCCCTGTCTCACAGCATACTCTGGCCTGGGGGAATGTGAAAAGGATGATAAAGCAGCCACAGGCAGGGAGGGGGGAGGAAAAAATCAGAGGTCCAGGGAATGACAACACAATATTAGCAGCCCCAGGTCACCAGGAGGTGGCCACACCTGCGAAGAATGAAGCATCTTATTTGAAGAAAAGAGTGTAGATCTGCACGGGCCACACTTGGCTGCTGGCAACTAGCCACCCCCACGGAGAAGGGCTGTGAAGAGTAAAAAATGCTGCAAATTTCGAAGCCTCACATGGAAGGAAACCATGTAAAACCCTTGGTGATCTGAGAGAGAGAAAAAAGGCTTCATGCTGAATGAGCGCATTTGTGATAGACTCGGTTAAGGACAATCAGCGAAAATCAAGGTCACTGGTTCCTCTTGATAAAACGGTGAGCTGTGGCTCACCTCGCCTGCCTGTCCAGCAACGTGGGCACCCTCATGCCTGTGTGTCAGAATGATCAAGGCAAGCCAGATGGTTAGTGTGGGAGAGACTGTCTGCGTTTACTTCTTAGATCACAGGTTATGGTAATGGAACGACTTAACGACCCCCCAGGATCCACTGCTTTGTCTACAAAACCATGAAAAGTGATTTCAAGAAAATCACTCTCCTAATCAGCAGGCTTGGCTCTCTCCGCAGCAACCACTGTCACTGCGCTGCTGGTCACTGGCTTTTCGGCTGGCTCGGATATAAGCTTGCTTTCCCTGGGCAGCTGCAAACCTCCCTCCCGCCTAACCACGTGTAAACAAACTCCCCGAGATGCTGAAAAAGAGTTGGGGAACTGGAGAATGCCTTGAGCACCCCCTCTGTGGGCAATGAGTTGGGAGGAGCACAGGGTTATGAAAACGGGAGCCCAAGAGGGGCTGAGAGTCATGGGGTGGGGTTAGGGTAGCCCCACCATCTTGTCCCCCCACCTCGAGGGCTGCCCTGGGGAAAGGACTGGGTTTTGCATTAGAAACCTGATTTCCAGGGTAATTACAAGTCTTAAAAAGCGTTTAAAAACATATTTAGTTTACATGATGTTACAGCGGGGTAAATAATATGTATTATTAAAATAGCCTAAATAAATATTTACACAGTAGACCAGAATGGGTCTCGAAGAGGCCCATTCCGATTTAACAGGTGCACTCTGTTCACTTCTGAGTTTTTTTTCTTTTCAAGTTTTAAAAAATATTTCTGTAAGAAAAAAATAATAAAATTCAACTCTATTCAAATACGTGAAGTTTCAGACCAAAGGAAGGAAGCTGAGCGGGGGTCACACTCGACCCCACACTCAGTCCGTTTGGCCTGGGCACCACAGTCATTTCAAGAGTTTCTTGCATCCATCCGCCTTCCCTGTTTAGCCAAGCCTGGCTACCTTGGCAACAGAACTGGTCAGTGTGGAGTTTCATAGTGATGTGGCCTGACAGCCTTGTGTGACTATTGACCCCACTGCCTTCCCGGCTATCATTCTTTCCTTGTTTTGAAAACAAACAAACAAAAAACCAAAAAACCATCCCTGCCCTCAGGAACTGGAAGAACAGAGGGCAGCTTCCGCTTGCAGCAAAGAGAAGCCACACATCTAAACAGCAGATGGGGTTTACGAGGGTCCCGGGAAAAGGGAGAATTCTAAATTCTTCAGCAGTCACTGGGGCTGGGAAGGCAGTTTAAAAACTGGGGCCACGGCAAGTTAAAGAGTGGTTCCTTAGGACAGAGGCAGAGCTATGGGGCCTCAGCTGCTTCTGAACATTTTTAACGTTTAGACTGAGATGTTTCAGCTCAGATAGGAATAGGCTGGATTCTGAACGCTTCAGCTGAATCTGGGGGCTGCCCGCTTTTAAAAACAAACAAAGGCCCTCAGGCTGGCCAACGGAGACAGCGAACAATGTGCGGGGGCGACCCTGCAGACAGCCTGCCCCTGCTGGCTACCGCATCCAGAGGCTTCTACACAGAGAACCCAGACGTGCTCCCCAAGCAGAGATGCTTCTGCTCTGGCTGGTTTGAATCACCCTGCCAAGGCCCCCACCCTGCAGCTGAGGGAGGAGCACTATTTACAAGTTAGAATACTGGTCGAGCACAGCTGCCTCCTGCCATCATTCTCAGGGTCAATGGGTTATGGGCTTTGCTCTGGGGTCAACGGACAGGGAGCTGAGTAGTTCCATGTGAACAATACCTGCAGAGTGCCTAGCTACAGTAAATTGGCAAAAATACAGTACAGGAGCAGGGCAGCGGTGAGACGCGGAGCGCCCCTTCATGGGACGTCAATAAACCCCTGGCAAAATTCTAAAACAGCGTTCGATAAAAAGACAGGTATTGTACAACAGATGGGAACAATGCCACATGCATGTAAATTGCTCTAGTGACGTGCTGCTCCCGCTACGTCAAAGCTCACGTACAACAAGCCGGGGAGGGTCTTCCTTTTCCTCATTTGCCCCCAGAGACCTGCCGCTGCCCTGTGGCTAGGCGACAGCGGGTCGAGATGAAGGGAACGCAGTGGCCATCTCGGTGTGTTTCACATCCATCCAACACCCGCGTGCCCGGTCACGGGTCTGCGGTCCTTGTGGCTCTTTGGAGCTGGCCCCTGCCCACCCCCACCCGACCCCCGAGGCCGGCTACATGTTGTAAGCCACGTAGATGGGGTCGAGCTGGTCCGCCAGGAAGCTGTCCCGTAGGTGCATCCTCTGCTTCTCTCCTCTGGAGTTGATCGGGATAACGCCGGGGTCCACCACCACCACCACACCCACGATGAGGTAATGCTCTTCCAGGACCACGTTGGTCACAAGAGGAACCAGGTCCAGGGCTTCCTGCTCAGAGCCGCACAGTTCCACGACCACCACGAGCAAGTTGGTCCACGTGAAAACAGCGCTGCAATGTCAACGGCACACTTGGTTAAACAGCGAGCAGCTGCCCTGCCAAGAGCGACCGCCCTGTCTGGGATGTGGCTCCCTCCCCTGGGTCCCAACCGGAAGGCCAGCAGCCAGGTCTACAGCCGAGGAGACCAAAGACCCAAGCTGGCCCATTCAAGAGCTCTTGGGAGTTTCGGTCAAGAGCTGTTGGCTGGTGACTAGAATTGGGGACACATGAGTCTAATTATTCTGGAGTGGTCAGGGCCAGGAAGAAAGGCTGCCCAGAGCACAGCGGAGAGGAGAGACTGTGTGCCTTTAGAAAGCGAACAAGGGCGGCGGTTCCTAAGACCTTCCTGTCTGTCTCTTCCAACCTTTTCCAGGCTCTAGTTAGTTATAGTCTGTCTGGTGCTCTGAGCTAGCCGGGAAGTCTCTCCACTCACTGCTCACTGCTTGCTTTAGCAGGTTTGAACAGTTTGTTCTTTTCAACACAGGCGCTTTGACTGAGATAATAACCTTAGACTCCAGTCCTGCTGGGGGGACCCCTCTGCGCTCTCTGCCAATGCAGGGAGTGTGAGGGGCTGCAGAGTTAGGAGGCGGGAGCTCGTTTTGGATGGGCCGTTAGACCACCACTTCTTTTTTTTATTTTTTTTATTTAAACATTTTATTAGGGGCTCATACAACTGTTATCCCAATCCATACACACATCAATTGTGTAAAGCGTATTTGTACATCATTTCTCAAAACATTTTCTCTCCATTTAAACCCCCGACATTAGGTCCTCATTTTTCCCCTCCCTCCCCGCTCCCCTCTCCCACATGAGCCCTTGATAGTTTATAAATGGGTATTTTGTCATATCTTGCCCTGTCCGACTTCTCCCTTCACCCACTTTTCGGTTGTCTGTCCCCCAGGGAGGAGGTCACACACAGTTCCATGTAATCGGTTCCCTCTTTCCTACCCATTCTCCCTTTACCCTCCCTGTTTTGCCACTCACACCACTGGTCCTATAGGGCTCATCCATCCTGGATTCCCTGTATTTTCAGTTCCTATCTGTACCAGTGTACCTCCTCTGGTCTAGCCAGTCTTGCAAGATAGAATTCGAGTCATGGTAGTGGGAGCGGGGAGGAAACATTTAGGAACTAGAGGAAGGTTGTATTTCTCATCATTGTTACCTCGCACCCTGACTGGCTCATCTCCTCCCCGAGACCCCTCTGCAAGGGGATCTCCAGTGGCCTACTAATGGGCTTTGGATCTCCACTCCGCACTGCCCCCATCATTCACTATGGTGAGATTTTTTGTTCTGATGATGCCTTACACCTGATCCCTTCGACACCTCGTGGTTGCATAGGCTGTAGACCACCACTTCTTAAAAAAAACTCCGATCCTTGGAGAAAAGCAGTGTTTGGCTGCACTGCCCTGCGTGGCAGGACCGGGAGGGTGACTGTGGCACTGAGCTTCCGGGCACTTGGGGCTTCTGGGGGAGAGCGGCTCAGACAAAGCAGCCCCTGGCAGGCCCGAGAGGCCAGTGTTTAGAACGGACAAAGCACGGAGGGCTCAGGAGAGGAGGAGGAATGGAAACAGGGCCCACAGGGAGGAGTGGGGGTGGGCGAGGAAGGATGCACCAAGGGACCGAAGCGCGGGTGCCAACCATCAGCCCTCTGCCCACAACAGAGAGTTAGGAAACAAACGTGAAAAGATATCCCGTTGAAGAATGCGTGTGCTGACCCATGCCATTTTCAATCGTCCCGTGCGCATGTGAAAGGCAGACAAAGAGTAAGATGAGGCCCTCTGCTCCCCTCCAGGTTACAGCCGGGCAAACTCAGAGGGGGGGCTTCTGTCCGACAGTGTGTAATGACTCAGAATCGATTCTGGCTTATTCCCATTCTCACGTTCTCAGAGCACCGGATTATGGGATTGCCCTTCTTCATCTCTCTCGAAATGTAACCGTTTAATTCTGCCAATTCATTGTATTTTAGATCTACCTATGAAAAAAACCTGGAAAAATAATAAAACCGAGAAAGGGCACAGCAACATTCCTATTTGTTAAAAATAAACCAGATGAATTGTGTATCGTTAAGATGATGAAATGAGAGCAGTTGTTAAAAATGAGAGAGGAATTTTAAATCATTATGCAGTCAGATGGGAGAAAGATGGGGCTTTCTACTCCCATAGTTAGTCTCAGAAACCCACAGGGGCAGTTCTACCCTGTCCTATAGCAGTGGTTCTCAACCTTCCTAATGCCACAACCCTTTCAGACAGTTCCTCATGTTCTGGTGACCCCCCGCCCCCCAACCATAACATTATTTTTGTTGCTACTTCATAACTGTCATTTTGCTACTGTTATGAATCGGGCGACCCCTGTGAAAGGGGTCGTGACCCACAGGTTGAGAACCGCTGTCCTGTAGGTCACTGTGAGTCAGCACCAACTTGATGGTGGTGCGTTTGAGATGGTCATGAAGTCAGAGGCTCCTTCTTCAGGGGAGCTAGAGGACAAGTCCAGCACCAAGAGGGGGACTGGGTGAGCTAACATTCCCTTTCAGCAGTTTGCCGAGCACACTCGCAGCCGGTTCTCCAGACAGCTGGGAAGCAGCAGAGAGCCTGGCTGTCTCATGGACCAGGAAAGCCGTCTACTCAGAGAGCAAGGCTGGGGCTCTTCCCACCAAACCACTGACTTCCCAGGTGCCCTGGTGGTGTGGTGGGTTCTGTGCTGGGCTGCTAACTGCCACTCCTTGGGAGAGAGAGACTTTGTGCTCCCGTAGAGTTACGATCTCAGAAACCCCCGGGCTGGTCTACGCAGTCACACAGTGCCGCTCTGAGTCAGCACTGACTCAGTGGCAGTAAGATGTTGACGTTTCGGGAGGCAAGCGGTCTGTTTGGCGCCTGCCATGTGTCAGACCCTGAAAAGGGCATCTCTGAGTGGAGCACACAGGCTAACAGCTTGACCCTTGACCCACAAACTGGCGGCTCAAGCACCCCAACAGGTGGCTCAGAAGAAAAGCCTGGTACCCATCCCAAACAAACCAGCCATGACAACCCTGCGGACAGTGACACAGTGATTCCACAGCAGCTATCTGACAACCGGCCATTAACCAGGGCTCTGTCCCCAAACTCAGGTGTACCTGTCAGATCAAGACAGCTGCTACCCCCAAGACTATGGACCTCGGCCCCCACCAGGTCTGCACTCAAACTCACCCCACGGCCCAATATTCAGTCAGACAACAGGCAGGCCTGTGAGAGAAACAGCAAAACTCGGGAGGTTCATGCACCTCGGAGCAGGACACTTCCCCAGGGACCAAGTTCCGCAGGGTGAGGAGAGGGATGGAAGAGAAACAGAAGCACAGGGTGGAAGTAGGCGAAGTGATCCTGCAGAGGGGACTGCCATCGGGTGAACAACACATGTATGCACGGTTGCCCTGCTCTGTGAACCCTGGCCCATCTCACAAAAGAGAGACATAAAGAAGGGACGGGGCTCTCTTCTCTAGTGGCCCCTCAGAGGCTCAGTGACCCCAGGGTTCGGTGGGGCTTCTGGGAAGAGGCCTGGCTGCACCACCCACTGCACACAAGACTCGGGCTCCACCGAGTTCCTCCTTCCCCTCGGGATTCTGTGTCTGTGGGCAGGCCTTCTGGAGAGCTGGCTGCTGGACCAATGGGAGGGGCACTGACCAGCCCACCCACCTCCCGTCCGCCCCCAGCCGGGCTTTACCATTCAGCGATGCTCCGGTGGACCCGAGACACAGAGGTCTCGATGTCAATGGGGTGGTATCGCAGGCCTCGCAGTTCCAGCGTTTCATCCAGTGCCCCCACCACATACAAGGCATCGTGGCGCTCTAGCAGGGGACACAGAGGGCGGCACGGCTCAGCACACACAGGGTGGGGGGCGGCAATGACCCCTCATCTTGCCCATCTCCCCTGCCACACCAGTTGCGGAACTTTGGGCAAACTAAGTCTGGTTTCCCTGTCTGAAGAGGGGTATTAATCAATGGCTGCGACGGGGGCTACAAAGGGGGTCTAGGGGTGCTGTAGACTAGGCTGCTGACTGCCAGGAGGGCAGTTCAAACACACCACCCCTCTGTGGGGGGAAAGACGAGGCTGTCTGCTCCCCAGAGATGCTCTCTCTCCAAAACCAGGCTCAAGGAATCACCGGTTTCTGGGCAGGGATGACAGGAGCTAACCCATGGCAGGCTGTAACATGGTGGCACCCACTGTGAGTGCTCGAATGCCATGAGCTCCCATTCCTACTACGTGCCCCAGTGTCGGGGAGAGGGGTGGGACATGGGCGCACACACGGATGTCCCAGGGCCGGGAGGGTGGGTGAGGTGCTGGGAGCAGAGGCTGTGCATGAAGCCCAGAGCCTGGGTTCTGGAAAGACCCCTGGAAGAGCTGAAGCCAGGACTGAGCTTTCATGGCTAAGGAGGAGCGAGTCAGATGAGAATGGAGCAGTTGGGGGAGAGGTGCCCACTGTGTCGATACGTCTTTAAGGCATAGCTCAGAGAAGCAGGATTACAGAACATGGAGAGGAGACTAGTTCTGGCTATGGGATAAAGATGGGATGTTCTACTCCTGCAAAGAATTCGTATTTAATCTTGGAAACTCACAGGGGCTATTTTACCGGCCCTGCAGGCTGGCGGTGAGTGGGCATCAGCCCAATGGCAGAGAGTGGGTTCTGGTTACTAACAGGACTGTCACCTGGCAAGGGAATGGCAGGAGTCTCATGCTGTTGTCTAGAAAGGTCAGAGCACCCCATATGCACAAGGTTACATACACAGTCCTTGTAGGTGCTATATTTCACTGAAAGGAGACCCTTGTTTTTGCTAGTCTACTGAATACAGTATTTTGTGGGAAGGGTAGGTTTCTAAGAGCAAATGGGTAAGACACGTGGCTGAAGTTGTTGAGAGCTGCCTGCAGCAGGTGCGCCAAGCACCATCACCTGGGGCAGAAACCACAGGAACCCAGCCGCCAACGGCTAGTGCAGCCCATCGTGTGTGCCTGATGCTGAAGCGTCAGCTCTTGGAGCGGCTAGGGGACAGCTCGAGGTCGCACGGCTGCTGGCCGAGCAGGTTCCAAATCAGATGCGTGCCAAGGATAGCTGCCCTTCTCCACCGCGAGCCTGCCCGCCATGGAAGCACTGGTCAGAAGGAGCCAGGGAGCAGTGATGAGGCCCTGGCCTCTACCTTCCACTCAGGCCCTTCTAGGAGGTCCTGATATACATGGCAGGGTTGGTGTTGGGTAGCTTAGAAGAGCAGTCCTGTAGAATGTGGGACCCCGAGGCAGGGAGCACCGCAGCAAGACGGCTCCTCAGAACCGAGCCCTCCCGCTCCGCAGATAGTGTGCAGAGGACACGGAGCAGCAGTGCCAGGTGCTGGACTGGGGTTTGGAGTCAGCCCTGGGGAGCAGGCAGTCCGGGCTCTGCGGGGAGGTTTACCACCTGACCTACATTCCCAGAGAGCTCGCCTCCTTGATACTTCCCATGGGGCAAGTGCTGCTTCAAACAGTGCTCGATGCCGAGGGAGGGAATGCGAAATGCACATCCTGGCCGGCCTTGCGGGGACGGACATCTACGGCAGCCAGCCAGCGTAGCCCAGGGGAGCAACTGCTGTGGACCTACCTCCGGTGGCTGCAGTGAGCTCGGTCCGGCGGACAAAGCCCAGGTACCCCGTCCGGGCCCAGAGGGTCTGAGCCGCGTCCCCAAAGCTGAGGCGAGTGTTGAAATGATCGGCCTGGAGGGTCTCGCTGTCATAGATCGTGTAATAGCCGCTGGCCGTGTGGGGGCTGTTCACCCAGATCTACGGTGAGAGGACAGGCCGCATTGTGACGTGGACGCCCCACCATCCAAGGCACAGGGCTAAAGGCCACCGAGGCAGGGCCAGAGCCCCAGTAAGTTCTCTGCAGGCGGGCGGGTTAGGGTCGTGGCCAGTCTGCTGGCAGTCGCATCCGCACTACTGTCACTCTGATTTGGCAGGTGGGAAAGCAGGCGGTGAAGCGACCTGCCCACTGTGCAGAAGCCAGACCGCCCCCACACAGAGGCCCTGCTCAGAATCACAGCTGCCCACCGACACAGCAACAGCCAACGGTGGCAGTGAGAAGGCTGGAAGCTACTGAGGAGGCCCCCGGGTGATCAGTGCCACAGCTACAGGCTCGGAGGCAGCTCGCTTTGACGTGGCAGGTGCTAGGATTGTGGATGAAGAAACGGTGGCCCAGCGAGGTGAGGTGACTTGTTCAATAGTGAGAAGCTGGTTCCCGCCAGAGCCCAGGCCACCAGTCTCCTCCATCTACAAGCCCCCTCCCATTACACTATGGATGAAGCATTAGGAGAGAGTAAAGTATACTGTAAACAACATTTACACTAACACAGACACCAATTAGGAAACATTTCATACTTGTGGCCTTTTACAGTTCTGCCCTTTGAGACCATGGGAAGAATGGGGGCAACTTGTCCATGTTCCGCATCACCTAAAGGAACGTTCCTGGACAGAATGGAGACTAGTGCTGGTTTGGGGGTTCAGGTGTTCTCTTTACCCCGCCCCAAACCTCCCCACCCTCCCCAGCCATGTCAGTCCCAGAGTAAGAGGAACACTGTTCACGTGAGGGGAGGAAGCCCAGCCCCGTGCCGTGGGGTTGACAACGTGAACCTTACATGGACAGGGCAATGATACAGACCTCTCCCAGGTGAGAGTCGCCAACAGGTCCTTTGGTCTCAGGATTCACAATCACCACTTTCACTCCGGGTAAAATCTGAAAACCAGGGGGCGAACACGGGGCTGGTTCAGGGATGCCAGAGCCTCCAGGAAATGCGAAGCTACTTGGAGGAGGCCCAAGGTGCGGGGGCCCAGAGCAGTGGCCTTTCCAGCACCCAGGACACGAGCAGACCAGCCTGCACTGCTCTGTCAGCTCAGGGGAGACTAGAGAGGCCCCGAGTGTCCCCTCAAGATAAACCAGAGGCCAGTTACCACCTTCAGAGGACGCAGGAAACTACAGACCAGAACCTCACAGCAGAAATACACCTCCCTTCTGCTGCCATCTACCTCATTATCCACTGTGCCCACTCAATCATCGCCAGCAGGGGTTGGTTCTGACGTGGAGACCCTATGGGATGGGTAGGGACCCTGTCCCTGTGGGTTTCCACGACTGAAACGCTTTATGGGAGTAGAAAGCTTCATCTTTCTCCCTCAGAGCAGCTGGTGAGTTTGAACTGCTGACTTTATGGTTAGCAGCCCAGCATGCCACCGGGGATCTTACTCATTGTGGCAGTAACGATGTTGTAACAGAAAAGGCAGAGGAGGGACAGTCGTAGAGACCCCGCCCCGGATGGCAGCTCAGCTCGAGCCATATGCGGTGGCTTTTTTGGGACATACCTGTGGCTCTGAAGAGTCAATGGGCTTTTTCAAAGGCTAGCATTCAGATCATGGTGATTCCATTTGTTTGTCAAAGTATATACATATGGCTCTCGCACCGTTTTAAAATTGTTGTGAAGGACAGGACTAGTTCTTCCCCCTTAAAAGTTTGCTGAGCCTGGAGCTGGAGGACCTTCTGCAGGTCTTCCTGCAGGAAGAATGGCCCGGGGCTTAACGAGAAAGGCTTCTTTGTGAAGCCCATTCATTCCCTCCTAAGCCTCCCGCTTATCCTGGGGGACTTAGGAGCTCAGCAATGATCCTCTGGGATCAGACATCTAAAACTTCCAAGAAGGAGACGAGCACGTCTCTCCTTTAGCCTGGGCCAAGCTGTGCCCCGCTCGGCAAAAGCTCCTAAGAACACCCAACTCCGAACCCTGGCATGAAGCTTGGCTGCCGCTGCTGAGGTACAGCCAGTCTCTGACTCCTGGTGACCCCACAGACAAATTAAGCCACCACTCTACCTGGTCCTGATCAGCTGTGGACTGGGCCATTGTGCTCCACAGGCTGGTTTCAGACATGGATGCCTGCCATACCTTTCTTGCTGGTCTTATTCTGGAGGCTCTGCTGAAATCCGTCCAGCGTCACAGCAACACACAAGCCTCCGTGGACAGGAGGATGGTGCTGTGCATGAGGTGTGTGGGCCTGGAACTGAACTCTGGTCTCCAGCATGGAAGGGAAGATTTCTACCACTGACGCCTTCACTGGGGGCTTCAGAGACAGCAGTGGAATCAACCCAACTGCACATTTGTTTCCATGGAAGAATGAAAGCACTGGGAGTTCCCCAGGAAGTTGCTGTAGCATTCATTGGAGGGGTCAGGTCGAATGCCTTTCAGGCTGCCTAGGAGGGTCCTAGTCGCTCAGCAGCCTGTGCCGGCGTTCTAGCATCCTCTCTAATCAGTTCGTGCCAAATAGCTCTGGAACATTTCTAAGCCTTATTCTTACTAAGAAACATTTCCTCACTCAAATATCTTCAATCACTCCCTACTTAGGATTTTATATACAGGTCTGCCTCCTCCAAACCCCCAATTCAACTAAACCAACCCCTTTTAATTCAACTAAAATGTGCCACCCTTATTTTCCTCTAATTAGTTCCTAATCAGAAAATAAGGAGCTCTGTGGTATCGTGGTTACATCTTAGGCTGCTAACCTCAAGGTCAGCAGTTCAAAACTACCAGCTGATCCTCGGGAGAAAGACGGGGATTTTCTGCTTCTGCAAAGAGTTAGTCTCTGAAACTCACAAGGGCAGTTCTCCTGTCCTAGAAAGTTGTTTTTATCAAATCAAAGCATTGACTTGATGGCAGTGAGGGAGGGAGAATAGGTATAAAGTCCCTGGGTGGACTACTCGTCTGTGTTGGTGGTTCAAGTCCACCCAGCGGTGCTGCATTAGAAAGGTCTGGCCACTTGCTTCCATACCGATGTCAGCAGAGGAAAACCTCCGGAGCTGTTCTAATCGCCAGGAGCTGGAATCGACTCTAGGTCAATGGGTTTCATTCTTGTTTTAATGGTTATAAAGATGTAATGGGCTCTTTTTATGTATTTCTGACTTACTCACCTTGAATACAATCACTACTGCCTTCTGCTGGCTCATCTGTCAGAATACCACGGAGGCCAGATTTTTAAAAAAAGTATTAAAAGTGAGACCATTCAAGTTTAAAATTCTTTTTGTATATGTACCTATAGGGGTTTGGAAGAATTAGTTAAGTTGGGGCTGTTGAATTATCTTCACATTTCAATCAGATCTTGCTCTGGCTACTATTATGTACCCAGGAAAAACCCCAAGCTCATACATTATATGGCTCTGGTTTTTTGTCATTCCAACTACTTCTCCACAGAGGCCCCTCACCATTTTAGCAGAACAATTACCTTTCCAGACTCTGAGAGGAGCAGACTCTGGGGGGCACCTCGTTCCACAAGACGAACCCTGCAGGAGGACAAATATGTGCTACAGACAAGCCTTTAAAAATGAATTCACATGTAGCGCAATAAAAGAATCCACCAGGCCTTCTACAACCATACGTCGCTTTCCCAAAAGGAGTGTGTTTTTTCCTATCACACTGGAGCACGGTTTCCCACCCTGAGCCCTGCTGAGATCTGGGCCACATCACTCTGCTGTGGGGCTGCCTGTGCACTGCAGTGTCCAGCAGCTTCCGTGGCCTCCTCACAGTACCCCTTGCCGTGTTATACCCGCCCAAGATGCCCCAAACACTGCCACATGTCCCTGAGGGGCAACATCGCTCCAGGTGGAGAACTCCTTCACCAGAGACTCTCCATGTGCCAAGTATGTCACCCAGGGGTGGCTGGTTCTGGACAGAGGCTCAGAACCCTCAACCCTGTTCTCAGCTGGTGAGGAGGGAAGCTTGTCAGATGAAGTTTTGTTTCACAAACCAAGTTTGTCTCATTTTCTTGTCATCAAAACAAAAAGCAAAGAACCTCCTTAGAGTGAAGAGCTTATCTATTCTAGCTTCATTTATATCCACAGGCACAGAACGCTTTTACCCGGGCAGGCACTGAAGGTTGCACTTGATACTAAAACAATGAAAGGATGAGTTAATAAATGTCAAACTTCTCTGGTAATAAGGGCTAATTCCTTCCCTCTTCCTGTCCCCTTTCTAGAAAACACAATCAGAGAAGAGGCAAGGAGAGATGTGAGCTTTTCTGAGGCTCTGAGCTTTGGACGCACAGGAACCGTGACCCAGAAGGAGCGCCATGTCTCTACTGTACCTGTCGTGCCTGAGTGATTTCAGATCCACGTACACGGTCGTCGGGTCAGGCCCTGAGGTCCCCTAGAGAGGAATACATCCCACGTTATTTACTTGAGTATTGAATCAGCTGCGATTCCATAGTTCACATTGTCAAGTTAAGGCAGACAGCAAACATACAGCAAAACCTGGGAAACCGGAACCTTTGTAAGGTGATCACTGGACAGAAGGAAAAAGCAAGCATTTCCAAGGGAAATGCCTGAGCAATAGAAAAGTAGGAAGACTTCACCCTAGAAAAACAAGGCTGAGTTCCGGCTCCCACCAGCATCACTGAGGCCAGGTCACAGATTCAGAAAACCCACACTCCTCTCGGAAAGCGCGCCCTCTCCTGCAGGGCTGCAGTCACCCACTGCCCAGAGACTTGCAGCCAGGCTGCGTCATGGAGAGGGGCCTCTGCTCTCCCGCTTGCCACATCGGCTGAGGGGGACTTTTTATCCTTGGATGCAAAGCAGGCAACAGTATGTTATCACATGGGTTTTCAAAACTGCCGGTGGCCCACACCAACAGTGGGAGGCCAAGGTCAGATGCTGCAGGAAAAGTCACTGGCCCGGGTCACAGGAGATCAGCCTGCCTCCCCTCTGCTCGCCCAGGAGCAGCCACCAGGCTCCGAATCAGCCCTATCCTGGGAGTCATCCACTGAGAGTACGATGGCCAAGGTGGGTGCCATTTGGCTAGAGCAGAGCCTACAGGCTTGTTGGTGCTTCTTTGGTAAAAGAGAGAGAATCTGGAGACAGAAAACCAGAGGGTGGCTAAAAATAAACCTCAAGGCCGACTTGGGAATTTCCCTGACTCATCAGCCTGGGATGTCACGACTATTAATTGAGGGTCAATATTTACAGCAGAGTCCATCTCGCAGGCCCTGCCCAGTGCCTGGCACTCATTCACTCGGGGTTCTGCAGAGCCAGCCTGTGACATGGGGTAGTGCCCCCTCCGCTTTATACAGGGGCACTGGGGTTAGAGGAACAGGCCCCCAGACCCTGCGGCGTGCACCCGAGGCGCTGTGGACAGTCACCTGTAAGCACACGGCCACGTTGACTCTGGACCCGAATGTGGTGCTGACGGCCCTCGGGGACAGACCCAGGTCCTTGAAGAGCTTGGAGAAGGACTGCTGCAGGGCAACGCGCGGCCGCTCCTCCGCCACCACCACGCAGGTCCGGATGCAGGACAGGCTGATGCCTCTGGTCTGTGAAGACACCGTGGGCACGGGCGGCGTCAGGGGGACTCCGGAGGGCCATCTACTGCTCTCTGGCCAGGAGAGGCCGAGAGCTGTGCGCTCCGGCTGCAGACAGAGCGAGGAAGGACACAGGCTCCCAGGAAACCGGAAACGGCATGCGTCGCTAAACTCATCAGCCGCTCAGCTCTGCTCCTTCTCGTTTCCGTTCTTCTTGGAAAGGCTGAGCATTCCTCAGCGCCCACTCCTCCTGGACCACAGGAGACCGCCCTACTTCAATGGAGACCTCAGACGGAGGGGAAAGAAGCGGACTCCTGGAGAGCGAGCCTCCCGTCTGTTTATCCTCAAGCTCACGGTTCTCTACGTAAGACAACTGTCTTGTATCCCGTGTCCGTCGGTCATGTCTCATGATTACACACAGCGCTGAGCCACCCCCAGTCTCTACTATTCAGAGACCTTCCGTTTCTACTCGGGGAGAAAGCTCTGCTGGAGGGGTCACGGCACCCTTACTTTGCACAGAGTATGACCCCCCTTCCATTGAATGAGGAGGGCGGAAGAAATGGCTTTCTGAGACTTCAAAAACCCCATTCACTCGGCTGGCCAGGAATGGGCTGACAGATCCGTCGGGGGCACCGCCTGGCTGCCCCGGGCCTTGGTCCCTCCTGGGGGCCTCCTCACCTTGAGCACCTCCACTTGGTTGCCGAGACCTTTTGTGCAGAGCTCCATGACGGAGTAGGAGCAGAAGGTGTCCCTAATCTTGTACTGGTTGACGGTGGAGAGCCAGAGAAATAGGTTGTTCTCCAGCTCCATCGGGGGGATCAGGATGGACTGGTGGCCGGAGTAGACACTGTGGAGGAAGAAGGCCAAGAGATGACAGTGTAAGCTCATCCTAGAAACCCTGTCGTTTCAGAGCACTGCCCATCCCACGGGTGCCGACTGAGTGCAAGTAGCGGATGGCGTCAGAGCACGGGACACCTGAAGGGCCAAGCCTGATCTTGTTCCTGGGTCAGCCCTGGGACATAGTCCCACACAATACCGTAGACTGTGGTGAGAGGGTATGAGGTGTGAAGGATGCTGTGAGCACAGAAAAAAGAGCAAGTCCTTCAGACTGGGGGAATTGAGTGAGTGGCGGGAAGGAAGCTTTACTGAGTAGATGACACCTGAGCTGGGGCTGGAGATGCAGTACGGATTGTCAGTGGCTGGGGACCAGGTGCTGCGGGCCCTCCAGGCAAAGTGAGGGCAGATACAAAGGCCCAGAGGTATAAAAGGACCCAGGGCCTCTAAGGCCATCAGAAACAGCATTGCAGCGTGAAAAGTCAGGACCCAGGGACGTGGGGAGCAGCGAGAAGGGAGGCCAGAGGTGTGGATGCACACTGGGAAAGGCCGAACTGGCATCGGAGGGAGCTTGGCAGGGATTGAAGCTTTAAGTTGGGGCAAGATGAGCAGCCCGGAGGCGGGGTTGGAGATGTGAGGCTGAAGGCTGAGAGACAGGAGAGGTGGTGGTGGACCAGGAGAGACCAGAGGGAGCTCCAGCTTTGCCAGTGTCTCCAGGGCCAAAGGAAGGACTGGAGTTATATCCTGTAGGTACAACGGAGAGCTGGCAGTCTAATTGTCTAAAACTGACTGCAGATCAGAATCACCAGGGCCCCAGGAATCCTGTATGAAAACAGACAGAACAACGGGGGGCTCCCACCTATGGGATCTGAGTGCCCCAAGTCTGGAGAAGATGAGTTCATTTTGTTTGGCTTATTTGAAACACTCCTAGGTGATGCTTAACGACAGAGGCATTTAGGAACCACTGAGTCGAAGGATTCCATGTTCAACTGGATGTGAGAGACAAAGACACACAAGCTGGAGACGACTCCCTGGTCCCTCATGCAGGCCTCTAGGTGGACAAGCCCACCCTAGCAAAGAGGACATGGGAGGAGGATGCCGAGTGGCAGGCGTCTGGGAGGCATTGTGGACATGTCCACTGGGGAGGTGGGGGTGCAGGCCTGAGACCAGGCTCCTGGGCGGGCAGTGAGAGGAGCTGAGTCTGCTGAACTATAAGTCCCTTGGCAGGGACAGACCTGCCGCCTCCTAGCCACAGGCCACCCTCCCATCATCCCAGTCTTTCCTTCCTGTCAAGCCTAGGGGGTACACTCTCACTATGAAAGCCTGCCATCCTGCACTCAGCCAGCATCCTTTTTCTTGGCTCTGCTGCGGATACAGGGATCAGAGCAGGTAACAAGATCACCAACCAGAGAGGAATACCGACCAAACTAACAGAGACACAGCAGGGGCAGCCGTTCTGGAAACACCTGCACTTTATTAAAAGGACCCTACTACAGGGGCCAGGGGAGGACGGGGTGGCTGTAACCCCAAAGTATACCCTCCCTGCCCCATTCTGGTTTTTGGCTTTCCCCAGTTCCTACCTGCAGAGACACCAGAGCGCAAAGCCAAGTCCACAGTAGGGGTCGAGGCAGATGGCGATCTGCCGCGAGGAGTACAGCTCGCACTGGAGCTTGATGGCCCGGCAGAGCGCGTTCACTGCCGAGTGGGACATCTGGAACGCCAGGGACACGTGTGAGCCAGAACTGCCGGCCCGCCGGCGGTGGGAAAGCAGCTCCCCCATGGGTTGGATGCTTTCTCCCGCCACACTCCTCCAACCCTGCTTCAACCCCAATCTGAGCCAAAACGTATGGTCTTGACAAGCTGTCTGCTGACTCCGGGTGACCCCGTGTGTCCAGAGCAGAACTGCTCGACCTGGAGGAGGCCGATCACCTGACCTGTCTGCAGTGGTGCCTGGTGCTGGGGGTTGGGGTAAGTGGGTGTGGGGAGATGTACGCCCCCCTGCCTTTACCTTCACGCCTGTAAGCATGCCAGTTGTGGAGACACTGAAGTCCAGATAGGCCAGCATCTCGGGAGTGGGAGGCTTATACAGCTGAGGTAACCTTTTCCTGGGCAGATCATCTGCAGGGCAAAGAAAAGTCCCCGAAGGGCGCGTCAGTTAGATAGACAGACACGCTGGTGTCACCCCTGGAGGTGGTCTGGGGTGGAGGGACCCAGGAGACAATATCCACAAGCAAATCTAATTGGGTCAATATATTCCACAGGAGCTCACAGCACTTCTGGTAGAAGTCCCCGCGCCAGCATTAGCAGCTCCTGTAAATGGCCCCTCTGTAAAATGGGAGCGATACCTCGCCTCCAAGAACTGTTGGGAAGTCAGCGTTCAAGAAAAGGGCACACCAGGTTCACGGCCGCCGAGTCAGTGCCGACTCACAGGGTACAACTGCCCCATGGGTTTGACACTGCAGCCTTTACTGGAGGGAAAGCCCTGTTTTTCTTGTGCACAGCAGCTGGCCTTGTATTTGGCACAGTGGTTTTGAACTGCTGGTCTTGTGTTTGGCAGCCCAACACGTAACCCCTCCGCCACCAGCAAACCCGCTGTATAAAAGGGGGTGGGGGGTCAGTAAGAATTGCCCACAGATCCCGCTACCCTGTAGAGCCAGGGTATCCGGGTGGAACCCTGAACTCTCAGGAGGGGATGGACTGGAACGTGCTGGCTCTGACTCTAGGTTTCAACCACGTTTCACCTAGAAGCCAGGGCCGGATCTTCCCAGGCACATACAGAGTCTGGGCCAACCCAAAAGCCCGGCCATCTAGCGATGATGCCTGGGGCAATGGCAAGACCCTGGCTAAAGTGTTTGGATATGTCCTTTGGATCTGGGCTGTGGCACTCTCCAGTCCTTTGCTGATGCAAGCTGACCGGATGCGAAGTTTTTTTGTGAGGGGAACGTGTTGTGACCACAGAAGGGCTGTGTAAGCATCTCAGGTGCTCCAGCACCCTTGAGGGCACTGCAGGAGCTCCGTGTCACCTGTGTCGATGATGGTTGGCCAGGTTTTCACGTCCACGGCGGCCGCTGCCTCTCGGGACCTCAGGAGCCGCAGGAGGGCCTGACTGGTGAGAATACAGGCTGCTTTGCTGACCTGGAACCACAAAGAGAGGTGTCAGCCTCAGCAGGGCCAGCCTTGGGGAGCTGCTGCAGGCTCTGCGGCTGCTCAAAGCGTCTCATGCGTCTTCCGAGGTCAGCTTTTCAAAGACCCACAGGGACACAAAGTGTGCGACACCGAGGTGTCCCGTCTCGGCATGCTGGCTCTACAAAGTTCTATTTCTGCAGCGGTACTCACAATGGATTCTCAGATACCAGGGGGCTTCGAAAAGCTCGTGGGAAAATCCTAGGACCTCTTTATTCAATTTGCCCACGGATTTTCGGAAGCCCCCGTGTATCACCCAAGTCTAACCTCCTCACACTGTCCAAACTCACTGCTCTGGAGTCGATTCCGACTCGAGCGGCCCTGCCAGGACCCCTGCAGTGTCTTGACAGAGACATGGACTTTGTAACTCTCGGGGAACCCGCACCTGGAGCACAGATGGGGAGGGCGGAACCCCACGGCAAGCAGACACGCGCTCTGCTCTCCTGCTGACACGTGGACACGCACAGTGGCCTCCTTCCCACAAAAGGGCCATCTGGGGAGACAAATGCTCCTCTCTGCCTTGCTGGCCCACTTTTCAGAGTGCTAACGGGCACTGTGTGGAATTAAACTTTGTATTGGCTTCATCTGGGTGAGCATGGCTTTTAGCTTGCAGACCTAAGCTACGGACAGAGCCGTTCACAGAAAAGCAACTGTTACATAAATTGCAATTCTACTACCTAAAAGTATCCTGGTCCTGACTGCCCTTGGCTTCAAAGCACATTAGGTTATGAGGCTATATAGATTTATCAAATTTTCATCAAGTCTCATTTCAGGCAAAACCTCTCCCAGCTTCAGAGCCAGGAAAAGCAACCCACCTGCAAGGGCGCCTTCTAAACACCGTGCCAGGCAGATGTGCAATGAATTGATCTGCAGCACTGGGGCCGCTCGGAGCTCAGCACAGGGCGTGACTGGTGCTAAGCCAAACTCACTGCCATCGAGCCCATTCTGACTCACGGCGACCTTATAGCACAGGCAGAATTGATGCTGTGGGTTTCTGAGACTGTAACTCATTACTGGAGTAGAAAGTTTCATTTTTCTCCCAAAGAGTGGCTGGTGGTTTTGAACTGATGACCTTGTAGTTAGCAGCCCAATGCATAACTGCTATGCCACTGGGGCTCCTGTTACCTTGGTTAATGTATAGAAAAAAAATCAAAAAGCTATTAGACAGCTATAACCACTGTACCAAGAGTTTTTCTGGAATAATGAGGGTCCCTTAGGCCTGTGTAAGAAGAGGAGGTATGCTTAGGGGGCACAGTTGATTCCTGACTCAACAAAAGCTAAGTTATTAGGAAGGTTCGTGAGAGAGTCATCTGAATCTGGATTTGATGAGCTGAGCAGAGCTGCACTCGGTACTCACGTCAACAATCATCCGGACAGTGGGCAGGGTGGCCGTAAGGTTCTGTGCGTGGGGAGGCCGGACAGTCACAGGGATGCAGCCTGCATACAGGCAGCCGTAGAAGGCAGCAATTAACTCGATGCCTACAAGACACAGAGGACTGGGTCAGGCAGGGCCCGGACCGCTTCATCCCTATGCAGCAGACAGCAGATCTTTACAACTGGCTTGTTAAAGCATTGACAGATGGGTTATGTGGAGCACGGACGAATAGACAGAGCAACAGAAGAAACAAGTATTGGGTGGAACGACGACAAACTATGAGAACCACTTTATAGTTCCATAAAGTAGAACTGACTTAACAGAGTGATCATATTAATATTAAAAAGTGAAGGACGGAAGTACTGGTTTCCATTTGCATTACTACTGACTTATGGGGACCCAGGTGTGGCAGAGCAGAACCGTGCTCCGTAGGGTCTCCAGTGGTTGAGTTTTTAGAAGTAGATCACCGGATCCTTCTTCCGAGACATCGCTGGGTGGACTCGAATCGCTAACCATCCTGTTGGCACCAGAGTGTGTTAGCGGTCCACACCATCCCCAGGTTCCTGAAGAAGGCAACAGTCCCATTGAACGTTCAACTTCTAAAGCCCCACCATGAACGGAACCAAAAAAAAAAAAAAGAAAACGTTTGGAAGAAGGGGAAGGAGTCCCAGTAACATCATGTAGCTAAAGTACAAAAAGCAGGGGTGCTACACTTGGAAAATAAAGGGATGGGGGATGAGGGAGGAAGACTACCCAGACCCCCTTGAGTATTTGGAAGGCTGGTATGTGAGGGCAATTAGACTTTTCAGCTGTCACTCCAGCTGTGGTGGACATTTTAGGCTAATTAAGTGTGACTTGATATGAAAGCTCTGCTACATCAGGACTTGGGTCTTCTCAGCAAACGGCCTTGGTCCATCACCACTACACTAACATAACAGGGAGGGCTATCTCATAGAAACCCTACAGGAGGGAGTCCTGTACCAGATGGCCTTCAAAGAATTCTTCCAGTACTGATGTAAATAAAACAATGCACATGAATCATGGAGTGACATGGAGTCAGGGGAAGCAAAGTTGCAAGGAAAATGGATTTGTGAGTTGGCAGGAGAAATGAGGGGCACCTTGACATACTTCAGCTGAAATTTTAAATGCTACTAAAACCAAACAAGTTTGAGCTCCTCTTTCCTCTGACCCTGAATTACATCAGAGCATGGGAGGCAAGGAGAGGGACAGTCAAGGGACACTAAGCATCACTCCCAGTGTGAAGATGGCTATGTCAACACTGCTGGACAAGCAGAGGGCTCTTGGGACTCCCGAGCACTCCCGCAAACGGTCCATCCACGTGGAGGCTTCCTGCAGGCAGGCAGCTCAAGCCTCATCAGACAGCATGGGCTGAGTCTTTCTGTGCCAGACACTGCAGGAGAAGGTGGGGGCCAACAATAAACACAATACTTCCCAGCTCTGGGCGCCATGTTTGGCGTGCGCCTTTGTCTGTGTGGGTAGAGCTCTTGCAGTGGGGGAGCGCCGGGCCCCACACGATAGCCTGTGTCCCTGTCCGGACAGTCGGTCATCTGGTAACGCAGCTTATACGTCTAGCCCAGCACTCTAATGCTTACCAGGTGGATAGAGCAACACTACGTTGTCGCCTGCATTTAGATGACCCTTATCCCCAAGAAGGGCCGCGATCTTCTCCGCTCGCTTGTGAAGCTGAAGGCAGCTGGCTGTGCTCACGGTGGTTCCCTGTGGAGGAAACGAAGTGGAAGCAGGTCAGAATCCTGGGAGGAAACAGACCAGCGACAAGTACAGTCAATCTGATTTTATACTTGAAAAAGCTTGTGCCCTGGTGGATGATCTTCTTAGCAAGCTAGTCCTGCCAGTGAAAACTGCCCTGGAATTGTACTAAAAGACCGAGGTGGATTCCCTTTTCCAAGGTCACTTTGCAATGAGGGAAAAAAAAAAAAAAGGCGTGGAGGGAGAATAAAGGAACTGATAGGAAGGCGGAGCCTGGGGGCGGCCAGTCGTGATGGTCAGTGGCCATGTTTTCATGGGTGTCTGCTGAACAGAAAACGTAGCCGATAGGCCGAGCTTCCTAGCGGCAAAGATGACAATAAATCCGTGACAATGACCCATGGGTTTGCTAGTTAACGATAAAGAGGGGGAGGTTACAAAGAGCCCAGCTGAATCATTTCTCCTCTGCGTCTTCATAAAATATCCTTACTACAAATCGAGTTTCAGTGGGCTGTTTCTTGAAACTTCCCCTCCCCTGTAAAATACAACACATAAGGGAAAGTGCATACAATGGAAACGTTCAGCTTAATAAAAAAACTGTAAAGCAAGCATCTTGTGTAAGGATCAGCCCAGCCCAGCCAGCCGCTCAGGAGCAGCCCCGTGTCCCCTGCTCCTCCCTCCTTGGTCTCCTCGTGCAGTCTGGCCAGCCTTGCTCGTCTTCATCTTGGATTTCCTGTTCTCGACCTTCTCATCTCCCAGGCCTGTGTGCCTGCCAGTTTCAGTTCCTACTTTGGGATGCACAGGTACGCACTCCTGTGTGGGCTGTCACTCGACACTATTTTATGAGTCATCTACACTGCTGTGGGCAGGTGCAGTCCATTCACCATTACTGCTGACTGCGACTCCGCTGGGAGGACGCAGGGCACTGGGCTCACCCATCTTGCTGATGGACAACTGTCATTCCTGTGCACGTGTCTCGGGATACGGATTTGGGTTTGGGAGGGTAGAGACCTAGAACTGGGACAGTGCATCACTGGGTACAGCTATTTTCAGCCTTATTGGGTGATGCCAAAGGGCGCTCCATTGGTTTGATCTTTGATTATTGAGCCAATACCACCACAGTGGCTACACTATATTGACTTCATGGCTCATAAATATCTTACCAGGCACCCAATTTTTCATGAGCCATTCCATATGAAAAAGGGACTGTTTCATTAATGTAAAATAAAGCATGTTCAGTATGGAAAATTAGGAAAATATAGTAATATATAATCTTTCCAGAGTCATTTTAATGTATTTGTGTACATGCTTCTGATCTAAAAATGAACATATGAGCATAAGTCAAAAAGTATCCTGTAGAAACTGCTATGGAAATCACAGAAACCTTTACTCAACAAAAAGCAACCATGTGAGGCTATGAGTCTGTACTATCTGGAGACAGTGTTTCTGTCTCACTCTTCCCTGAAAAATTATGCACACATTAATATATACCACAACCCAGTTTTGGCGTCTTTGTGGGGCTCAAGTCCTTTGAAATATTGGAGAGCAAAACAGAAGGGCAAGTTCAGGGTTGTAGGGTAGATGGAATAAGGCAGTGGTTCTCAACCTGTGGGTCGAGACCCCTTTGGGGGTTGGACGACCCTTTCACAGGGGTCACCTGATTCACAACAGTAGCAAAATGACAGTTATTCACTGGAGAAAACGTGTGGAAATTGCGCCCTATCTGATCCTGCCACATGGAGGCAAAACACTAACGGGGTGCAACAGAACAGCAAGGGGAATGCTGAAGGTGGACTTTGGGGCCAGGGCGTGGTGCCCCAACAGACTGGACTGGAAAACACTCCTAAAGGCCAACAAACAGTCCTTGA